CCAGAGGGCAGGGGTTGCATCTGCTCTGGCTACTGGTGATCACAGCCGAGCCCTGGGAAAGGTCTGCACACAGTGTGTCTTCACATACGTCCATGGAATGGGGACCCCACCTGCTCTTCCCTGATGTCAGTGGGCCTGGGCCCTTCGCATCCCCACAGAATCCTGCTCTGGGAAGACCAGAGGCCTGCCGAGTCACTCTTCGGTCTCCTTTACAGGGAACGGACAGCCTTCCCCTGTGCAGGGCTCAGTGGCGCAAAGCACAGCCGGCCAGGGATGGAAGGGAATCTGACAGGCCTGGGTCAGCACTGCCCTGGAGACCCCAGTTCTGCCCCGCAGTGATGCCGAGAGCCCGATTTTCTCAGCACCCTGTTGCTCAGAGTTGTGAGCAGGCTGAGGCAGGGCTCATACCTTCCAAAGACTTGGGGCCACAGTGGCCAAGTGCCCCTGGGTGCCGACCACAGAGCTCACCTTCGCACCATCCCCTCCTGCAGGGCGGGAATGCAGGCCCCAGAGGGGTCCAGGAGGGAGTCTGCATGGATGGGGCAGCTGTCCAGGAAGTCCCATTCAGGGGGGCTCCCTCAGGGGGCGCTGCATGCCTGCCAGCGCCGTCCTCACCATGCAGTCCTCTGCCCAGCTCTCCTCCCGTTGGGCCCCAATCTGTGACGGAACAGAGGGGAGACTTGGAACTGGGGCCCACCCAGGCCATCAGGAGGGCTGGAGGCCAAAGCCCAGACCACTTTGCAAGTCGCCATCATGGCTCATACCAGAAGGGGCACAAGTGGGCCCGGCAGAAAAGCAATGCATGTTAGAAGGTAATTTCAAAAGGGACACACAGAAATGCTACCGATTCATGGCTCATTAACAAGGAGAGGTCATGGCCTGGGGCATGAAGAGCCCACTCAACCTCAGGTCCCATGGTGGAGGGAGAAACCGAGGCTCAGCCTGGCTCCAGGCCTCCTGCGAGGCCAGCCTGTCCCTGGTGTCTGTTAATGGCTCAGAAAAAGTCAGGCCCACTTCCTGGTCCTGAGAGATTGCCTGGCTCTGCTCACTGCCACCTTTGTAGGTTGCATAGCCCCTGTGGGTACCACATGGGCCCTGCCCAGGAATTGCCCTGAGGTGACACAGCAGAATAAAGCCATGACAGGACGGAAGTGACACAGTGTCCTGTGTGCAGCTCTGTGGGGACAGTGCCCGGCAGCCAGCAGCAGGCACAAGGCTCTGCCTGACCACAGTTTGTGCTGTTTCTGCCCCGGGTAACCTTGTGCTCCTGAAACACAAACAGCTCTGTCTCAGGCTTCCACCCCAGAGGACAGGAGAAGGCCCTGCGGGCTGCAGATCATCACTAGGCACTGCCCTTCTCCTCCTCTCAGCCCCTTCCTGGGGGCACAGGTCAGGGACCCAGGCTCACAGCCTCCCACACGTGCCCCTGCCCAGGAGGAGCCTCCCTCATGATCTCGTCCCCCACCCTCCTCAAAGTGAGGAAGATGGGCGGGAGTTACACCGGGGACTCACAGCGGTGGCCGGGCCTAACTGGACCTGTCCTGGACTCGGTGGACCCAAGTGTCTGGTGTCCAGGTCCAGGGAGATCTGCCCTGGGCTCCCACTCATCTCAGGTCCCCAGGTCTCTGGGTCTGGTGAGACCCGCCCTGTGCTGCCCCTGATGGCCAGGCAGTTCCTGGTGAGTGGCCTGAAGCACGGGGACTTAGCCACCCATCCTCTCACTCGAGCCCAAGTGCTTTCCTTGACGCGGGGTCCTATTGCTGAGGCCTCGAGGCCTGGGAAAGCAGCACAGCGTGATCGCTGCTGACTCTCTCCAGCCAAGTGACTGTTAGGCAGCCGTCGCTGGACTGTGGTGCCCAGTGACTCCAGGGTTCCGAGTTCTGTTTGGACCTGTCGCCAAGGAAGTGAGGTCGCAATGCCCCCTCTGATGAGAAGACCCCGGGGCCCCTTCCTTTCATGGTGGAGCACATCTATCTGTGTGCTCCTTAGAAACAGCAATGAGAAACCAGAAAAGCTGCTTGTGAAGTTAGAGTTTGATGAATCAGAAGTTTTAATTCGGCAAATGTGTAGATGCTTAAGAAGCACCAGGCACAGAGAGAAGTGTGCTTTCCCATCCAAAGGGTCCATTCTCTCTCAAGACACAGTGCTCATGTCAGCACTTAGAGATCTGATGGATTTGAGGATGATTTTCTTTTCTGGGTTGACTTCCAT